GCGCCTGTGGTCCCAGCTACTTGGGAGGCAGAGGCAGGAGACTCGCTTGAGCCCAGGAGTTGGAGGTTGCTGTGAGCAGTGAAGTCATAGCACTCTACCCAGAGGGGCAGCTTGAGGCTCTGTCTCAAAAAAGAAGTATTTGATCTGTGAGTTTGGAAGGCATACAGTTGAAAAGGAAATTTGAAATTTGCGTTCTTTTGGAACACAAGTTGTTACAAATACAGTTTGAATTTTTCCAATAACCGAATGCAACATCCATTTTTTAGGTTGAGATTAAATGAAATTTAAAATTCAGCTCCTTGATGGCAGTAGCCACGCTGCGAGTGCCTGATAGCTACATGTGTGGGGCCACGCAGGGTGTGGGGACTGCTACCAGCCATTGGGCTTTTGCAGGACATTCCTGCCCTAGTCCACCAAATTCCAGAGGCTTTTCCCTGCACTGCTGATGGTGGTAATGGGAAAATGCTACTGTCTCAGGAACCATCTCCTTAGACCCTGGCGGCTTACTTCCCAGTGCCCCAGCAACCTGGGGTTGGCTGGAGCCCAGCAGGGCCCCTGGGGTAGCCTGCCTGTTTGCTGCGCTCCTTTTCCTGGGAAATGTTTACATTCCAGACACTCAGGGCCTTTCCAGGCTCTGCATTTTTCACATAGCTGAACAGGAACCTGGGTTAACCTGGTGGCTCCTACTTGGTCCCTTCTGCCTTCTGGGCTGTCCTATCAGGTATGGCCATTTGTAGGGCAGGCTGCATTTCAGCCAAAGAGCTGGGCCTGACACCCCCACCCCTTCAGTCCCAGGTATCCCCCAAATAGGCACTCATTGGTGCTTTCATCCCTCACCTGACCCCAAAAGGATGAGGCTGGTTGGGAGACGGGCAGCCTCTGAGTTTGCTAAGCTATCATGCCAGCTGTCACCAGCTGTCACTTGCCTCTTTCTACTCCTTTGAGGCCTGACAGGGCTTTGATGTGGAAGGTGAGCCCCAGGCCTGATGAGGGTGCCTCATTGATGTGACCTTCTTCTATAGGGGAGAGTCTCTATGGTAAAAAAAAGTCTTGGAAACAGCTAGTTAGCATTGCTCTGCCGTGTTTGCACCCTGCGTTGCAAGGTCCATGTCCCTGCGGTGGGAGGTGGAGCTTGGCTTGGGGGGTGGCTGATTAAGGAACAGAACCAGAGGTTTGTCATTTTAAATCTGTAGTGTTTACTTACATTCATACATCTCTAACCTGCTGTTCCATCCTTGGGACTTCTGCCTCAGGGAAATACTCAAGAATTACAGGCAAAACAGCTCGGCGCCTATGGCTCAAGCGGCTAAGGTGCCAGCCACATACACCTAAGGTGGCGGAATCGAATCCCCAGCCCGGGCCAGCCAAACAACAATGATGGCTGCAACCAAAAAATGGCCGGGCATTGTGGCGGGCGCCTGTGGTCCCAGCTACTTGGGAGGCTGAGGCAGGAGACTCGCTTGAGCCCAGGAGTTGGAGGTTGCTGTGAG